AGGAGACAGGCAGTAGAGCAAAGAGAATGAACCAAATGAGATGGATTTTGTATGTGATGGTTTACGTCAACCCAGTAACAAAAATACAAAGAAGTGGGAATTAAGATTCAACTTCGCTCAAAGAGATTAAAATAACTTTAAATTAGGAACAACTACATTTAAAATAACAATAGATAGTTATTTTTACTTTAAGCTAGAGCCTTAACGTTGATCTCAGTGATTGCTGGGTTAGAAACTTGACCAGTTTTATACTTGACACCACTCTGCAGCCCTTTGCTGACCAAAAACCACATTGGTAGTTTTGTGGATCGGGGGTCTCATTTACCAAACATTGTGTAGAATCCTTACTAAAACCGTACTTAAGCCCAGCAAAAAAATGTACTTATGCCAAGTAGGTTTGTGATCTATCAAACATGGAGTACACACAGCTGCACGCAATCTCCGCTTCATAAATCAGAGTCTAACGAGAAAGGTTCTCAGCTGCTTCACATCCCGCCCTCAACACGCCCACTTTCTGCCATAAATGGTCAATGCCAAGTGCCTTGTGGATCTCATGCATATACATAAGCCGGCTTGTTGCAGAATTTCGATCACAACCGCAGATCAAGGAAGCGCTATTTCACAAGCAGAAGTCTAGGTACTTGTGGGTGAAGTGGAGTAATGAAAGGACGTGCTTTTGCAAAACAAATAAGAGAAAATCCACGGAGTGGCACAGCATAGCTGAAGCCGTCAATTTTGTGAATTCTTCAGAGAGATCTGTGGCGGATATAAAAAAAAATGGTCCAATCGGGATTCGATCCCTAGACTCCCAGGTGAAAGTCACACGCGCTAACCAGTCACCCAAACGGAGATCTCCCCTGTACACTCAGGGTGCATGATCAATCGGGTCACAGTGACAGGACACACACTGTCACAGATGCATGACATTCTGTTTCAATCTGTCCCCCTGCTGATATTCTGCATTCCGTATTCTGCGCATCAGGTGTGTGTGTGACTGTGTGGGGTGGTGGTGGTGGTGGTGGGGGGGGGGGGGGGTCTTGCTCTGTGTGAAAATGAAGCAGTACAAGTAATAATGCTGCAGGATTTCATAATTTTATCCTTCTCAGCAGCAGCACTGCAGGTGCTCTCCATGTCCAAATTGTGCGTAAGCAAGGCCCTTAGTCAACTTAAAGTTGCGCACATTTTTCCGCTAAGTTTTCTTTCATAAATCCCAAAGTTTGAGTGGAAAGTTTCTTTCGCAGTGTTCCGACCCCGTTTTGTGCGTAAGCAAGCTTGATAAATGAGGCCCCAGGTGTCCTCGGGGATGATCTTTACCTCCTTTATGGCTGTTAGCTGTAATGCTAGTGGTTATCATTTTCAGTTTACCAATTGTCATAAAAAGTACAAGAAAAAGAAAAATAAGAATTTTGCTTTTTTCTGTTAGCATCATGGTGGAGCCTGGAAGTAAGGCAGTAAAGTCTTTGGAGGCGAATCAAAGAGCTAAAACCAGAATGAACATTAGCGTGGCCTACACTAGTTTGAGGGAGCAGAAGGAGGCCACAAAAAATCACAGACTGATGGTGACCTAGCTTTGCTGCAACTGGACTTTTTGTCCAACAGTGTGGATCTTTTTACTTTGCTATTTTTTTTAGTTGGCACATGTTAGTTTTAGCTCATTGTTGGCACTAACTACAGCAGGCTGCAGCAGTGTTGTTCAGTTGTAATTCCACTTTCAACCAGCAGGGCGAAAGCAGGAAAGTCCTGTGTTACTTTAAAATGACCATGTGTATTTTTCCTGGCGATGGGGGCAGTAGACACCTAAATCGTTGCAAGCAAGCAGTATTTTTGTGTTGGAGTCAGAGCTTACCAACGGATGGCCATTAGGGTCAAAAAACACTGGGGAGTGCAAACTTCAGCAAAATAACAAGCACATCAGACTCCCTTTCATCACTGGCAACAAGTGAATAAGTTATTGCGTAAAACAACAACATTTAAGAATGGAGAAAGTTTTGTAACCATTTGTTTCAAATCAGTAAACACATTTTGTCCTCGAGGGCTCCCATAAAAGGAAACATGGCATCTAATACGGTGTCGCCCGGAAACTTAGACCCACTCCCATGTATTTTAGACCAGATTTTATGGTTGTATGTTACGAAGCCGCCAATATTTTTAAAACAGCTGGGCATCATTTTCAACAATGTTTTGATGGATATTTCCAGAAATTAATGGTAAAAACTACACATTGTCTCTTTAAGATGCACAGAATGAACTATTTCAGTATGAATGGAATTACATATGCTTTTTAAAAAACTGATTTTATGGAAGAAAAACAATTGCCAAGACCCAAACAACAACCTATGATCAGAGATGTATTATTAGTTATTTATATTGAATGCAGCTTTTCAGATTTCTATTCTGCTTTTATGTAGAAAATGACCTAAATTTAAAAAGCCATCAGGCTGGAGTGGTATAGTAAAAGAAAAATAACAGTGTAGTAAAGTCAGTTGTCCATCCAATACAAAACCAACCTAAAACCATAAAATAACTTATGGATAAACTCCCCCCCCCCCCCCCCCCCCCCCCCTGATATATATTTGTCACTTGACACAAAAGACATGAGAACAGATGAGATTTGTCCTCTAAAGGCTGTCTGTAAAGCATGTGCACCCCCTGGACATTTTATTCTAGTTTTGGAGCTAAAACCTGTTTATCAAAGTAAACGGGTAGTGGCAGGAAAAAAAATCAATACGTTAAAAAAAACCTTCTTCTGCACACTTTAACAAACCAAGATAAGCTTCAGAAAGGCTTAAACATTTACACAACCAAGCATGTAATTTCAGATCTGATGGGCTTTATCCTCAGCAGCGTCAAACTACATCAGATTACAATAATCTCAGTCCTGCACTGCTGGGGAAAAAAAATCCATTGTTGTTTTTAACTTCAATAACCCAAAGCACCCAAAAACTTGATCACTGTCACTCTTGCATTAATATTTTACTCAAGATATCTATTAATGTATCTAAAACCTCAAAGGTGCAACGCAGACATGATTCCCTTTGTTAGTTCTAAGAGATTATATAACAATTAGCCTTGATCATTAGTCTTCAGTTTGGAAAGGAGAAGCTGTCAGCAAGAGTCCATTCAACAACTGGTTTGGTTAACATCTCAACTTAATTTTTTTGTAGTCAGATCAACAGTTTTTTTTAAAGACAGACCACTTGACATCAGTAAAATACTTTTTTCTTCTGCAAGAAAAAAATTGAGAAAATGCAGATTTTCCTCAAAAAACAGTCATGGCCATTTACAATTTGACACTTAGCAGCTTCTGTCATGGTCACATCTCTATATGTATCTGTTAAATATCTAAAATCATTTGACAACCTAAAACTGGTTGTTGGGATCATTTATATGAATATTTTTTGAATGAGTGACAGCAGTTGGAAAATATAGAGACATCAAGGGAATGGTTGATCAAATTCATACAAGATGTAAAAAAAAAAAGTATGACGTTGGATTTCTGACAGTTTTAGAATCTTTTGGGATTTATCTTTACACCAACTCTGACCTGACATCAAACATCCCACAGAATGCTGACAAAGCTGCGTTACTGTGGAATGAAATTTAATCAGAGTAAGCCAATTTTTCATTCGATTTCTCCGTCTAGACACTTCCCGTCTCCCTGCAAACCCACATTTGAGCTTATTCCTTGTAAGATAACATCACTGACACCACCAGAATAGCCTTTTCAGCTGTATCAAGTTAGCTGGACTTGTACAAGGTGCTTAACCTTTCATTTTCACACTTGTAAGCTGCTCCTTCAGATAGAGCACGAGTTAGCTCTCTTTCTTGGTTTCGGTTCCCCAAAATCTCTTTCGTCCGCAGCACAATGGCTGAATGAGCACATGGTCTGTGACAGTCTGCGCATACCCAGGCGGAAAACGCTATTTGACAGGCTGTAGATGACACAGTTGCAGAAGCTGTTGCTAATTGCCAGCCATGTGGTAATGAAGGACAGGGCGGGACTATTGAGGACATGGGAGCTCTCTAGAAGAAAGTAGATTATGTAGGGTAGCCAAAGCATATAAAAAACACTTGTGATTCGGAAGAGCACCATGGCATATCGCCGATCTGGTCCGTGCCCACCATGTTGTCCACCGCCATTTCCATCACCCGTCTCCATCTCTTGGCTGGGGAAGCGTGCTCGCCGTTCACTGATCTCCCTGTTGTGCTGCTGGCATATACGAAAGATGTGATAATAGGTAAAACAGACCACAAGCGCAGCAGGAGCATAAAAAAAGCACACCACAAAACCTGTAAAGAGGGCAGAGGTGGGCCAAGAGTGAGCACACCATTCAAAAATATCCCCGTGATAGCCTGGCTTGCCCCAACCAAAGAAGGAAGGCAAGAAAACCAGACTTGAGTAAATCCAGATGAGGGCAATGCAGCCTCGTAGTCGGCATGGTGTCACCAGCTGGTTGTACGATAATGGTTTAGTTATAGCCAAGTAGCGGTCCACACTGATACAGGCCAAGCAGGCCATTGACACGCTCTTCAGAACGGAGATAACATAGCTGAAAACCTGGCATGTAATTGGTTCCTGGACACTTGCTGGATAGTGGAGCAAAGACAAGGTGGGCACTAGACAACTTAGACCAACCAGCAGGTCAGCATAGGCCATGGTCTGGATGAAATAGCTGGTGGTGTAGTGGTGCAGTAAGGGGGCACAGTGAAAAACAAATATCACAGTAAGGTTTCCTGTAATAATGAGCACTGTCAGAAGAACAATGACAGCAGTCTCCAAAACGCAAGCATCTAGGCCTTCCTTCAAGCCCCAGCCCAAGGGACAAGAGTGGTTGGACACCCTGTCAGGAAATAAATCTCTTTGGCTGCTGTTGGAAGAGACCATCGGATCCATTGTCAATTCAGACTGGTTCATTGTTCTTGGTGTTAACCAAGTGAGTCACGGTTCAGGTGTGCCACACATGAGGCGGCCGTCATGAAACTAGAGAACTGCCCGTCTGCCTCCGGTTCTTCACCAGGCATCTGCAACCCCACTCAATTCACAAAGCTCTCTCTGGCAAACTCAAGCTTTTGCTCACCTTCCCCTCACATAGCTGGGTTTCAGTCAAATCAACTGGAGACTGGAGGAAAATCAATACAGCCTCTGGGAGGGCATGACAACCAGTTAGTCTCTTCCATGCAATCACGCATGGTAGGTGAAAGTAGTTGGTGGATATGTCAAGAGAAGAGAAAAAAAAAGTGGTATTCCTTCTGTAAAGCGAAAGCGGGTTAACAACGGTGGTGTTTCCAGCGTCTATCCAAAGGATGAGTTTCCCTGTTGCTTTGTATCCCAGCCTGTTGGGATCAATCCATGCTTTTAATCAGAGGTTCCACCAGAAGGTTGGGGATTTGAGCTGTCCTCACAAGGGCAGAGAGCACAGAAGATGTGAGAGAGGAATCATGCAAGGTTAAAGCATCAAACAATACTCTTCAGCGGGCAGGCTCCCACAGGCAATCAAATAGCCTCATGTTCCAATTTCAAACTTATGAGAAGGTACATTTTTTTTAAGCGGCAATTACTTCTAAAATATGCAGATTTAGGAGACCATTCGGGAGTCTCTTGGGGTGTGAAAAATTAAACAGTTTTTATAAATAAGCTCATGAGCTTCAATACAGTGTTTCACTTTGCTATGAGAGGTCTTAACTGCATAACAGCAGGCGTCCCTTATTTTGGTGGTCCTCTGGTCGGTGTCTGGATCCCCTGTATGCCCAGCTATTGTCTGAATCAAAACACAGACACAGGCTACAACAACACAGGGCCCTCCGCTGCAGATAACGCCACAGCCCTATCAGCACGGAGGGGCAAAATGTGTTTGCAAGGCATCTCTTGGCAGGATGAGGTAAAAACAAATGTGTCTAAATGTTCAAGTTCCACCGACTGCATGATCCAGAGTTTTAGATCCAAAAGTAAAACAAGTGTTTTTGACTGCAAGCTGCAAGACAAAAAAAAAAGTCCAGCAACTGATGAAGGAGCTGAATTTAATCCCACACAGGCAGGTTAAAGGACTCTCCGGGAGCAATGAGAAGCCGGCTGAATAACTCAGCGCTCCACTCGCTTCCACTCCTCAGCAATCCTGTGGCACACACACGCAGAGAGAGCTTTTGGGATCGATCAGCAATCATTTATCCTGTAAACTTGCAACTGGAATTTTTGCCACGACATTGTGAAGCACTGGCAATGGTTGGCATGGCTTCTCGTCCTCCCCTTGGGCGCTTAATGAAACTGTAAATTCAGATGAAGTTGTGCACGTATGAGATCCGACAACCTTGTCTTTTAGTCCTGTTTTGGCGAGTCTTTTGTTCTGAACAAAAACCGCTGGCAGCACAACAAAAGGGGAATCCACTCTACCAGAGTAAAAAAATAAATAAAAAGATCAAGTCCCAGTCAGAGTCCCAAATTTAGCATTTCTCAAATAGCTTCTTCTCTCTCAGCCAAACAAAATAATCCATGATAATAAACCAATCCTTGCATCTTCTCATGAGAAAAGAGGTATATGGAATGCTTACATCCAAAGCAATGAGCTAAACAAATACTAAAAATAAAAAAAGACGACTGCATTGATGGAGATGAGTTAAATCTGCAGCAAGGGAAGCAGGGGGACGAGGAGTCCCTCAGCCCTGGTGCAGTGAGGAATGATGCTGCGACTGGCTTACACTTTCCTCCCTCCCAACACCATCTCTCTAGCTTGCACACTCAAGTCTCTCTCTTTCCACACACACACATGCACACACACCCACCTAAACAAAACCCTCCCTCTGCCTCCCAGCCTCCTCCCCTCTTAGCTGCACCTGAGACTTCCAGAGACATTGTTCCATCTCTCAAGACTGGCCTCCCCGCCAGAGATAAATTTGGCTACATTCTCTATTTACATATCACTTAACTCCCACAATCTATTTTCTATTAACTAAAGCCCCCGCCGCCTACCCGCTTTCACTCCACCTCTTTTTCCTTCCTGTTTCAGTCCCACTCCTTTCTTGCAGTTTCCAGTCTCTACTTTTCCAAACGTTCATGAGACAAACTACACAAGCTAAAAGAATAACACCTAGATTTGACAACAATTTATAATCATTATAATTGATCAAATTAAATCGACAAATGAAAATGTATCTCGTCTGCTGCTCAATAATATCAGACCTCCATTATCACAAACGACATCTTGAATGATTAATCTCTGCAAAGCGTCTCCCTACAGCCCCGCCAGACTCCAGGATCTTCTTGTTATTTTGTTTGTTCATTATTCAAACAACAGCTTAGCACAGTTATGTCTGCCCCTTGGTTACAGTTGCCAGGCACTTTGGCCAGCTGGGAGCATCCTTTGGCCAGCACATGATAAAAAGGATCAAGTGACAGCGAACTGGCTGAGCAAAAGGGCGGACAGAGAAAAGCAATGTTCAACATCAAGGGCCAGGTGGCAAAATTTAGCCATAAACAATGTTGGCCACAGCGCTGCTGTGAATTATTTTGTTTTTAAATATTACACAAAAGTGGAGTAGGCAAAGAGTGACTGACGGATGAAGGAGGTTGGATTTAAAATGGTTATTTTGGAAACAAAGCGGCACCAGGTGGGAGAGGAAAAAGGGATTTATGAAAAGAAGATGACAAACCAAGGATATTTGTGGTTTCGCTACACAGAAATGAGTCATTTTACACACTTTTACTTCGCTTGATTCTGTATGAGGAGATGAAAAACCTTAGGCCACATGCGTTTATGTAAAACAGCTGTCCAACAGCAGGACATGTAATCACCTAACAGACAACATCCCTCACCTACGGTCATGAGCTCTGGGTAGTGACCGAAAGAACAAGATCGTAGATACAAGCGGCTGAAATTAGTTTTCTCTGTGGGGTGGCTGGGCTCAGCCTTAGGGATAGGGTGCGGAGCTCGGACATTCGGGAGAGACTCGGAATAGAGCTGCTGCTCCTGCATATCGAGAGGAGACGGTTGAGGTGGTTTGGGCATCTTGTTAGGATGCCTCATGGACGCCTCCCCAGGGAGGTCGACCCAGGACACGTTGGAGAAAGTACATCTCCGAACTGGCCCAGGAAAGCCTTGTGGTCCTGCCGGAGGAGCTGGTGGAGGAGGCCAGGGAGAGGACGGTCTGGAGCTCCCTAGTTGGGATGCTGCTCCTGTGACCCGGACCCGGATAGGTGGAACAAGAAGAGACGAGATGAGATTTAGGTGAATATCTGACTCTCACATCTGCACAACTAAGGAGAGGCGACACTGATGTGATAACCAGGTAGTCTAGTGAACTAGAACAAATTCTTGATTTGCAAAGTTTAGTCTAGGAACGCTCCATTGGAACCTCCGCAGCCCCTAGCAGCATTCTGGCCGGCCAATCACAGCTCTCTAGGGGTTTCAAACAAATAGAACGCTGTGATTGGTCCACAACAGCGGGTCAATCATAGCGCTCTGTCCGCGTTGTGGGCCAATCAGGGGCCTATCTTCTTCTGGTGGGCGTGATGATGCGACGGAATGAAACAAGACGGCTATAGAAATGTCTTTTACATTAATTTTGGACTATTTGGACGTGGGCTTTATTAGAATCAGGAGCAGATAGATTTTCACCATCTTCATCAGCGGACTGCCTCGTTTACTGACATCCGTTGCAGTGAGAATGTCACGCTGTTCGTTGTCCAGTAGAATGAGGAGACTGTTTGAAAGACAACGGTATAACCCGCCCCACGACTGAGAGCCGTCATTGAAGTGTTGCCAGACTAATAACCAGTTATTCACGTCAGCATCCAACTCAGCACACTCACATTTTAGAATTAGTGCTTATAAATAATTGTTTATTTCTGAAGAATAAACAACTAAACTGCAGTTTTATTTTGAAGGAAGAGATTTATTAATTCAAGCAAAAAAGTAGTTTTTTTCTTCTATAAATCAGTCACACTTTTCATTTTAAAATGCAGGGATGCTTGGTAATATGTTAATGATCCATTTATGGAATTAGTCCATCAGTGACGCGGTAAAGCTGTTGAATTAAAGTGATTGAAACAGTACTCACCGTTTCGCTGGGGTTTCTAAGCATTTCAGTTGGGAACAGGAGAGCAGCTAATGGAAAACTATCTGGAGTGATGAATTCATTTATGATGTCACAGTATTATGATAATTATGAGAAATCAACCCATATAATTTAGGTTAAAAGAAGGCATCAGCTGTTGAAATTTAGGAGAGTTTTGCTTTCAGGTTCATTGATAATTGTTTATTTTGTAAAATTAAAATGATTTATAAGCAAGTTAAAACAGCTGAAGTGAAGAAAACTGGTCATGATAAAAGGAAAACAACTAAAAATACAAACTGAAGACTAAAAACAGCTCAGGTAAACAAATCTACAGTGTCTCTGAAAGCAGCAAGTCAATGGAGATCCCTCAGCGCAGTGCTCTTTACCTTTGGTGGTGGACACACTGAGGAAAAACATGACCAGAAGGCTAGCGTTAATAATTCATTCTGCTCCAAAACAAAGCCAGCAGGGACACTCGGAAACAAAGGTGGAGGCTGATTCACCTTTGGGTGTTTCCCAGCACCCCATCCTCCTCCACCCCTGGGCTCCAGCTGACTTCAGTCTCAACAGCAACATGTTTGCTTAAGTAAGGAGTTTAGGGCTCACAGTATAGGTGCTTTAGCCTGGCAAGCCAGACTAAATAAATGTATTATTTAACTTTGCAAAAACTTTGCAAAGCAAGAATTTGGTCTAGTTCACAAGGCTATAGGTGCTTGGCTTTGAGGTTTACTTTGAGCTGGAAAATCGCCAGGCAGGGTGTTCACTATTTTTGTTCAAGGTCCTTTAACAGTAAAAGGGATTTAGTAAAGATTAAATGCTAAATGTTGTGTCTTTTAAGAAGATATTTTGAATTTAAAAAAATCCCTCAAATGTATATTTTATCATTATTTATATTATTACTGAGGGTCATGCACATTTCAATTTGCTTCCAGCCTGATGTGTCACTGCTGTT